GAGGGAAATGTTGAATGTTGTAGATTTGCACTGCTACAGTAGTTATATATTTGTTAAAACCTCCAAATAACAATAACCAAAATAAAATCATGAGTTTTGTGAAAAGCTCTTACATGCATAGGTTGGGTACAGGATACATGGCCTAGACTGATGCTGGAAGCATTCAGGGGGAGAATTTCAAAGGCACAATGGGCAGCTAGGCACCCAAGGCCAGATTTTTTTTATGGTGTTTAGGCACCAAAAGATGCAGGTAGGCACCTAGTGGAATTTTCAAAAGCTCCGCTCTGAAATATTGTGCAAAATTAAAAGAAAAAAATTGAATAAATAAAACCTGTGAGCAGACAGCCTATTCTATGCTATAAAAGCATGTTCTCTGTTCCAGCACTACTTTGCTTTGTACTTCCGTGAGACTTCTACCTACACCGTTAAATGTATTCACTTACAAAATAATATTTTGCATACCATGCAACTTTACGCACAGAACTGTGTTTAATTTATCCTTGTGCATAGAAATGATCAAAATCGCTTGTCTTCATAAAACATCACTCTCCTGACCAAACTTATTTGCTATCGTTTGATTAATTAGGGTTGTATTTAGAACAAAGTTTGCTTTTTGTGATACTGGACATAAAGGAGCAACAGCTCATCTCCCACATGGTATAATCCTAATTCATGCTTAAAACCTTGCTTGGGCTCCTTCCTTCCAATGTGAATGATAGGCTTTGGCAACAAACAGCATTCTCGAGAGCCTGGAACAAAAAGTCGTGCTTCTTCCATGCCCATCTTTAAAAGATTGTCTCTCCCCCCCTCGGGGAACATCAGGCTGACTTATTTGGGCATGCTCAAAAAGACCAATAATATCCACTGTGTGGGAGGGGCTCAAATAGGCTGCGCTCCCTTGCAGTGTATTGTGATTATTTACCTCAAGTCATATGCTGACTGTAGCTAAGGAGCAAAGTGTTTTATCTTCTCTGCCCCTATACACATCTTATCTGGAGGAGGAGTTTTGGCAATGTCTGTTTGTTTTTGTACTGTTGTCCAGCCAGGGTTACATTTAGAGCTGGTAGACACAAGTGAGCCATTTTTAAAAATAATTTGCACAGAGGTTTTCACAATTTTTCTTTTTTTTTTCATTCGTTACAGGGTCGTTTTTTTAAAGAGTTCTGAGAATGCAGAATTATGTTTTCTGTTAAATTTGTAAGGCCCAAACTAGTCCAGTCGTCTTCTTTTTTCCTTTGTTGAGGATCCTTATCCACAATGGCATCTGCTAATTCTCTCCTGACTGTAGGAGGTAGGCGTAGAATCATAGAATATCAGGGTTGGAAGGGACCTCAGGTCATCTAGTCCAACCCCCTGCTCAATGCAGGACCAATCCCCAGACAGACTTTTGCCCCAGATGCCAATGCTCAAACCACTGAGCTATCCCTCCCCGTAGCCAGAACTCATGCATGCTACTGTATTTTGAAATGTAAAATAAGAGTACAAACATTTGCAATTAAAAAAGTTCACAGAAAACTCAATAGTCTTCTTTTTTTGGGAAAACAAATTAAGAAAAATTGCAACATTTTTCAACATTTCTTTCTGTTCCGGGAGGATTTTCTAACCTGAGATGCAATAAATAATTTTGTGACTAATTTGCTTCTGAATTATTTCCTGAGCCCTAGTGATGTTTTGTGCACATGGGGAGTTGTGATTGTCCATTTATTGATCTGCTCCTCAGTGATCCCAGTCTCCTCAAGGCTTTTGGTACCTTTGGGCAGTGCTTTCTTATAACATGCCGTATGTTTTGACATCACAAGTGTTCTTAATAGTTTCCCCATGTGTCTGCTCCAAGATAACTTGTTCGTTATCTATCTAAAGAGCTTGGGAACATGATGTCTTTTCTTTACTGTTCAGGTACAATTTCTTTTTTTACTTTTGTTTCAACTGGTGCGATATCAGCTGGAAACACATACTGTCAGTTCTTCAGCGCTGTCCGAGATGAACACCCTTCCTAGGACGCTTACAGCTTTTTCAGGCTGCCATAAAAACTTCATAGCAATTGACACCTGTGTCCTAGGCCAAAGGTGCTGCCATCTTTCCACCAGGGACTGTGTGTTTCAAAGAGATGAGTTTAAGCAGCTAATCAAATTATAACTCTTCATATTTGACCAGATCATCAGGTGATGTAATTTGACATAAGTCTTCCTTTATTCCAGTTCAGAATCTGGCCCTAAGTATGGATGAAGAGAGAAAGGTTAAGGGTGTTTAGTTTATTCCCTTCTGGTTAAAGGAGATGTGCCTTTTTTTACTGTAGTGTGTAGGAATTGAGTAATATTCCTTTAAATATATTGTGAGCCCACTGATGTCATCTGTGTTTCAGAAGTCATCAGAACCCTGCTAGAGTTGCAAGAGATATATCTATAGATATAGATAGAAATATAGAGAGAGGGCGAAGGTCGGACACATTGTATATGTTTAGCAAAAACGGCTATTACCATGCCTGTGTGGTTCCTTCATGTAGCGTGTGTAAAGAGCAAAAGACAACATGTATTCTACATCAGAACTGGATCAATTTAAAGAACAAAATGCATTGTCTAGTTACATACAGAAAGGTTTTTGTTAATTTAGATCTGTGAAGTTTTACAAGGGAACTGACAGAAACAGTATAATGAACCTTGTAGTCTTTTTGTCTCTTTGCATGATTCAAAGATCCCACAGAGTGAATTGAAACAAGTTTCCATAGACCAGATGAAATTTATTTAAATGTAAGCAGAACATTTGAATCTGTTCTACCACCTTCCAGAAATGTGAAAGAGGTGCATAGCATGTATGGTGAATAGATCCTTAGTGACTGGAGTGGGGTCTTTCTTATGTTTGGTTTCCCCAGCCTTGATTGTGAATCAGAAACTAATGCTAATGTTGTAGCATGCATATGACAAAGCCCTTATTAGTCAGTTGCTTCCCAGATCGGACATCTTGGTTATTAGCTTTATGGATCATCATTATGAATCCAAATTTACCAAATTAGTGAGTGGCATATGTTTGTTTGACTGGAGTGTAGCGCACCCCACAGAGCTAAACAATAACCGTAGTTGGATGCTACATGTCACTTAATGCTTGACAGTTGGGCTACTCTTGAAATGTTAGTGAAAGGGGCTGCTTGCTCTGAGCAGTTAACCCAAGGGAGTTGACACTGGAAGGAAAGAACCTTTTAGTCTCCAACAAATATTGTACAGTAGGTGTCTCAGGGCTCAAAATTATGCCTGTACGGATTTTCTGGGGAAAGTATTTTTCCCTAGTACTTTTCCATTAGAAATGCATTGCTTTCTCTCGCCTCCTTTGATTGATGTTTTCCCACATGTGCTGGGAGGGGGAATTTTTCTTCCTGTTTCTGAACTGGTTAAGAGTTATTGAATTTAAACAGGTTCCTCCTTAAATGTGGGCCTTTTATTGCCAGTGGAAAGCAGTTGAAAACAAAAGATCTGCTTTTCTGGACTGCTTATTGAAATTCAGATGGAGACAGGCAAGATTTCCTTACTGATGCCTTTGGGGAAAGTCTCTCAGTTGGGAAAGGAATTCTGTTGGGAAAGCGTCCTGTTTTCCTAATTCTGTTGCATATATGACCAACAACATATTACCTCTAGCTACTAATGGTCCGTACTGCTGAGCGCTGCTGTGAAACATTTACTGTGTGTCCCTATTTCCTGGTGAGTCGTTTGTGTCACCATGGGCAAGTGGTTCTGGGCAATAAAAAGAGGAATGAGGAGCCGTAAGGAAGGAAGGGAGGAAGGAAGGATGAGTCAATGGAAACAGAGAAAACTAATGGTATTTTAATCCTTTAGCATTGGGGCTAGCGGGTTGAAATACCTATAATAGAGCCAGTCAAATTGCACAAAAAGAGAATTGAGAATAGTTTTATAAATAAATATGGCAACTTCACTTCAGTATTATTTTTGGAGTCACATTGTTCCCAAGCATTCTCACCACAGCAACTTTATTCATGGAAACTTTCAAGAATCCCAGAACTTTCAAGAATTTGAGCATAAACAATCAGTTGTCCAGTAATTCATCATTGAAGAGCGTTATTTGCTATTCATTAGTCTCCAGATTAAAAAAAAAAAAGAAAAAAGTTTGTCATCCATTTAAAGAGGAGAACCTATATCTTTAACTTAAATGATCAGTCCGACACCATGATAATGTATTGCAAATGATCAAAGTCAGTGAATGGTTTGTGAACAGCCTGTGGACTGAAATTTGTGTTCATGTAAGCTACTTGACAAATATCTACAAATAGTTAATGTGTTCACAAAGGGTCATGATTTCTATGAATGCTTCACAAGTAAAGGCCAATATTGTTCAGATACATTGTTGCAAATACTTCAGCTAACTCTAGTTGTAAAGAACTATCACTAACGTGTATACTAAGTCAGATGGATAACACTAACTAGGAGATTTACTCAAAGGGACCGGAATCCTGTGAGCGGCTGGATGAATCCTGGAAGAAAAGAATTTGCTTCCGTGAAAATCGATGAAGCACATTTCAGAGGTTGCTCAGCACCTTGGAGATACCTGAAATATCTCCATGTACTTCATAGTAATAAAAGTTGCTAATTTGACAGAATGATGGTGTGATTGGAAATCTGAATACTCAACACTCCACTTCAGCTTTCTGCTCCTGTCCACTATGTATCAAGGTTTTGATGTTGTCCATAACATGTTACATAGAATGACTTGTCAGTTTTGAAGTAAAACATCCAGATGTAATTAGAACATTGTAATTACTGATTTTATGTGTTCATTTGAAAAATATTTTTTTCTATAAGGGTAATTATTGAGCAAATAATGCTATATTTAGAAATAAACTGGTAACATGAACCGTTAATGAAAGATAAATTGTATGAAGGGAAATGACACATGTTTATAGTTTTGGCAGGATTTAAAACAGGGCATGTCTCCTTATATACAGCAACTGTTTTAACAGCTGCTTTTTTTTTTTCTCCTCCCCTAAATTATTTCAGGTTTTTGAGTCATGATGCAAGAATCTGGGATTGAGACAAAAAGTAACGGTTCAGCTATTCAGAATGGAGCAAGCAGCGGCAACCATTTACTAGAGTGCAGTCTACGGGAAGTGAGATCCAACGGTGAGACACCTTCAGTTGAAATTGGGGCTGCAGATTTAGCACATCTTCAGCAGCAGCAGGTACTGTTCAATATATTTACAACTTCACTTCCTAAAGAAAAAAAAAGTATTTAGCTCTTAAAACCTTTGATATTTGCCAGTCAAATAAATGCTTAGGAGGGCCTCCATACATATGTATGAGATGTACCCTGTAATATTTAGATAAAAGCAATCATAATGTAAAGGGAAATTTATACTTCTCTTCTCTTTCCAATGAGTGCCCTTTCCCATGCACTCGTTGGAAAGATCCAAAGATCAGTCTGTTTCTGTTGTCTAAATGTGTAGAGCCTGGTGGCTGTGACTGGGTGAACCACTATATACTAGTTTCCAAAATATGTCACTGGTTGGAAGAATCACTAACTCTGAGTTTTGTTTTTGCAACAAATTTTAATATAACCTAGCATCCTCTATCAACAGAGTCTTTTCTGTTAGCTAAATGGTTTGTTTTTCACCTACTGCAATGGAACTAAAAAATTAAATAAAATGAAATCGTCACGTCAGTCCTGTTTTTACTACAGAATCATCAGGAGCAAAATTATGGATTAATGTGTCCCCTATGTACTTTAATTATTACATTTTAGACAGACGCGATTGAGTTCATCAGTGTTATTGTTAGTAGATTAGCCATATAACATGTTATCCTTTTTTTGCTTCCTTTATAAAATTTTGAAACCCTGGTTAGAGAAGGACTTATAACAAACTGCTTAGCATGTATCATTAACCCATTTTGGAAACAAAGGCTGTGCTTCAGCAGTCGTGTGAATGTGTTTATGCCTAAACCGTACTAGCTGTAATGCAGTAAACATTCTTAAAACCTTTTAAATAAACTTTTGGCGGCTGTGCAAGTCTCTCTTAAGTGCACAGTGATCTTTTCAGCAGGTGGTGGTTGTGGTGAAGAAAAACCTGCAGTTGAAAACAAGGCAAAACCAAAGGCTTAAAAAGTAACAACTAGCCAGGTTTGCCATTGTAAGACAGAAAGCTGCCACAATTAAGCAGCTCAGAGAAATGTATGATACTAAATGCAATAGACTTTGGTTGTTTCAATCATTTTCATTCTACAGGTTTTTACTTGAAGTGAGAATGCCATCAGTGAGAAAGTCACAGCCATGCTGAATTCATTACTGCAGTAGTCACACAAAACCACGGATAAAATTTCAATAACTGCAGGCCATAGTTGAGTAAACAGTTGCACTGAAACTTAATTCCTGTTGACTTTTCCCTCATTCTTCGCCAGGGGCACATTCTGATTCGTAGTGCAAAGACAACAGGGGTTACAGCTTTGATTAATGTAGGACAGTAGAAGAGAATTAGAACCGTAAAATACGTTAGAAGTACATTCAACACCAAGGTTTGCTCTTAAAAAGGCTTCATATCCAAATGAATTAATTACACTGCTTTGATTTGAACACTGTGGAATTTTTCAGTCCTGTTTTCACCCCCCACCCCCTTTGTTTAGTGACACATGAAAAAATAAATCACCCAAATATAGCATTTGGTAGACCAAAAATACAGAACTGGGATGTTTCTTCCTTATCACCAAATATTAATCTGCATTGAAGCTGTCACCCCTTAGCATTTGTCAGCGCCTGTCCATAATCAACCAGAAGGATCGCTGTTGAGTGAGGAAACATCTTAATCTTGTATGTAATGTTCTGTATCGTTCAACAACCACCCATTTGGTCAATTAAGGAGAGAGACTGATGCATTCCAGAAAGAATTCTGTGGGGTCCTCCAACCCACTCCCAAATGATGCCCAGAACAGCTGGCTGTGCTTCCTCCATCATGCTCCCAGGCATCAGATCTGGAAGTTAAAGATAGAAATTGACTGGGGGAGAATTTCCTTATGGTGCGGTTTTGTAGGATTCTCATTTGTACTTAGTTTTTATCCTTTGCTTGTATCTTTTTTGCCAGTACTAGAATAGCTTTTGATTAACATGCTCTCCTCCAGGTTTGCAAAGGCCTTCCTGTTCTGTGTTTTAATTCTACTGTTAATTTGTTTTGATCAGTCTCTTTTCTGTTGAGTTTTCTTTTTAAAAAGTGAGCTGTTTGCTTCGTTTATAACACCTCTTTAAAAAAGAGTGCAATATCTAAAGGACTGTCAAAACTAGTGTAATAATGTATCAATCATTGTGTTTTGAAAATAGTTTTAAATTCCGGAAAGAAAAATGTTTTCAGACTGCTAATGCAAGCATTTACAGATACACATACAACACAGAGCATAATGTTTAGATGTTTCTCCATATACAACATATGCTCTCAGGTCACTTGACAGAATGCGTGCTAGATAACGCTGCTTCAATACAAATGAATGGTTATTTAAATAAAACAGCTATTTCTTAAGAGCATTTCAGTCTAAGTGTTTCTTTATGCCACCTGGCATTTGTGTTTTCTGAAAAATAAGCAGAGAGTAGATTGAGCTTGGCTCCTCTTTGGTTAGCTGGTTAACTGTGCAGTCCGATGATGAGCAATGGGCAAGCGAGAGATGCTGCCATGCAGTGCTTTTGGATAAAGCAGTGACTTGGATTTTAGAAATTGAATTCTTTTATTAAATTTGTGACTTTCAAGGACCAACAACATGTGTGTTTTTGAATTATGGAAACAAACCTTTCTCTTAAAAATAATCGTTGATTCAGGAAGTTTGAACAAATTTACAAATCCGTTTGCTTTTGTAAATCTTAATAGCATAGAAAAACATCAGGTAATGCTGGTATTCATCATTTTGGAGGAATAAAGTGGATTGTGGGTATTCTTGCAATCAGGGCGGGGATGAGTCTAGTACAAGTACTATACTGTCTTTGTCATTAGTTTGATACCACTGCAGGAGAGAGTGTAGAGGGAAACTAAATAGGTCTTAGTGCTAATATTTCTTGTAGCATGTTAAATCATCCTTTGAGTAGCAAATTTGGGGCCTAGTTCTGTAACACTTACTCAAGATGAGTAGTCCCGATTAACGTCAATGGCAATACTTGTTGAGTAAAATACTGTCCACAAGAGCAAAGGTGGCAGAGTAAGGTCCTTTGTGGAGAGGGCAGCTGGGGAGATATGAAGAGAGATAAAATTAGAGAGCTGTATGGTAGGGGATGAGAAGAATCAGCGCCAGGAATGGACAGAAGGGGTGGTAAGAACACATTCTCACAAGGTATTTGCGCCTCCTGAGAAAGGCAGTGATCCTCCTCAGCTTCTCCTGTGTTCAGTGCGAGTTGAAGATGTTCAGCATCTTTCAGAACTGGGTCTTTTCTCAAACACTGGTTTTGTTGACTGTTTTCTGCCTGTGAGACATCAAGCAGAGCATCAAGGTAACCTGGAGCATCAGACTCCTCAAGGAGAGCTGAAATAGGCAACTCGAGCAGAGCATTGGAGCAGCCCAGAGGAACTCCCAGTTGCCTAAACAGATAATAGAGGTGAGACAGAACATTGTAATAGGCCAGAGAGGCTTAGACAGAGCAACTGAGAACTGTGGCAATATCAAGTTGCTCACACAAATCACAACCTGAAGAGTTCAACAAGAACATCTAATGACCGAGGGGCCTTTGAGAGTCACGCTGCCTCAAGGGAGCTGTAATAGAACAGCTCTTGCCTACCAAAAGTAATGCATAAAGACTTGTAACTGCAGATTTTGTTTTAGTGTGAATGGGTGCAGCTCCGGTTACTTCAATGGAGTTTCTCAGATTTACCCCAATAGGCAATATGACCCATTGATTCTGAAGAACCATATAACATTCAGTGTCATTTGTTGTGACTTTTTACTGTACATTAAAGTGTTTGTTTATTAATGGAAAGATAAAAAATATGAATGGAATGAAAAGGACGGGACATAAAGGTGAATTCCAGCATATTACAGCAAGACCTGAAGTGCTCTGTTGCATATGGCAGAAATGCAAACCTCTCTACATCCATAGAAAGTTCCAGTTTGATACCAAGTACTGCCCCAAGAGTCTAAAGCCCCATATCTTTTGTCTAATCCAAAATCCTTTTGAACTTTTAGGAGGTATGACTTTAATAGTAATTTGTTGACAGATTAGCTGCAGAGATTGCAAAGAGTTTATTTTGCAAAACTGGCAGACTCATATCAGTGTTCTCTTAAGGAAAAAAAACACACATTGCTGTTTTGCAATTGCTTGCATTTATTGACAACCAGTGCTGAGCAGGCAGAATTGGAATGTTTGTATAATGTAAACCTATAGCTTGCCTGATGCAGTGTAGTGTACTTTTAGGTAGTGCATAGATTACTTGATAAAAAGGGTTACAAGGTGACTGCTTTTATGTCAAAGTAGAATAGCAATATAAATGCAAGTGGTACATAGAGAAACAAGAAGGAAGTTTATATAGAGAATTGCACTTTATGTAAGAAAGTTTCTTTTCATCACTTTGTCTTTGAACTGGACTGGACTGTAATTCTCAAGTGTCACTTAAGTTTCTGAAGAGTTTTTAGCTAAATAGTATGTTTAACCTGTGTCTACAAAAATAAGGTAAGCAGTTTTTTATTTATTGAGCAGAATTTGATAAAATGTTTAATTTTCCATTCATATTTCCTACTTTTACACCTTTACTTACCTTTGAACAAATGCATCTGATAAATTGGCAGACAAATAGAACCCTATTCATATACAAAACATTCACAACCCTATTCATATACAAAACATAAGATATTTTGGGCCAAATACTGATAGCTTACACACAATGAGTAGCTCTGTACCCCATAAGTAGGCTAAGTGACTTCAATGGGACTGTTCATGTAGCAAGGTGCTACAATGGTAGGGTATCACAATTTGGCCCTTTGGCGGTATTGAGATTTAAGTCTCACACTGAGGAAAACAAGTGTCATAAGGGATGTATGGTTTCACCAAACTCTTCCATATCAAAAGAAAGAGGAAAATGTGTGGTAAAGTCGTTATGTAGATTATTCAGAGACTGCTTTAATTTGGTAAATTAGGAATTTCAAGAGATTATTGTACTCAATAGACTTTAAGGTCAGAAGGGACCATCATGATCATCTAGTCTGACCTCCGGCACGGTAGCCCACAGAACCGCACCCTCCCACTACTGTAATAGACCCCTAACCTCTGGCTGAGTTACTGAAATCCTCAAATCATGGTTTAAAGACTTCAAGTGATAGAGAATTCACCATTTACATTAGTTTAAACCTGAAAGTGACCCGTGCCCCATGCTGCAGTGGAAGGCAAAAAAAACCCAGAGTCTCTGCCAATCTGATCTGGGGGAAAATTCCTTCCCAACCCCCAATATGGCGATTGGTTAGACCCTGAGCATGTCGGCAGAGTAGAAGTCATTCGGTATATATCAGAGTACAAATGAATTGAATGCTGTCACATTATTTAGCAACAAATTTACTAACAGTTTCATCTTTTAAAAAACATGAAAGGAGGTTATAAATTGCATCAGAAATTTTATGGTCCCACTGATCATGAAGTGGACTTATCTCTTTAGAACAAAACTACTAAAGTAGATCTTTGATAAAAGTCTTTGTTCCATATTGACACAACTGGGTTAGACTAAACTTGTTTGTTAGGCTTTAAGGTAAAACACATTTTGAGTCACTTTTGTTGGGAAGATATGGGGTGTAATTATTAAACTGCTGTTGTCATTGAAAGAGCCATTTAAGAGTATAGATTAAGCTACTTACAAGGCATCAGGATTGTGTCTGGTTTTGCATTTTACGACACTGGTAGTTCACGATTACAATAACCTCATGAAAGATCCATCTTATTGTAGAGTCTTTTTCAGCAGGGGGAATAAAAGGCAGATTTTCCATACATTGTAACTTAGTGTTTTTATCACTCAGGCTTTTTCCCCCAAGTTCTCCGATCTCCCAGCGTTGACTGGAAGGTGACACGATGTCTTTTTAGTCATTCAAATCTAAT